GCAAGCACTTTGGAATATGTATGGCATTTGGCTGGTGAGATACTGTGTCTTCATCAGTCTGCTTTCCTTCCACTTTACTGGAGGATGCCAGTCCCCACTTGGCACAGCAAAAATGGCCTCGGAAAGTACCTGGTGGCGGGAAACGAAGAATCCCCTTCCCCTTCCCTCCTTCCCATGTATTCTCAGAGCTGATCTGAAGTTTCCATTCTACCCTTAAATGACAGGACTCTGCTGCCTTCCTCTTTCACAGAAGAGGTAAACTGTGAATGAGTTTGCTGGAGTATGGGGCTATAAAGCACTCAGTCCACTAACTGCTTACATTCGGATAATTTCAGTTCTTCAAGATAATTTCTTTTAACATTCTGGTCTTAGTTGATCTTAACCTCTTAATTTAGCTGAACTAAATGCAAAGAACACGGTAAATGGGCAATGCTCATTGAAGGTCTACTATGTGCCAGGCTCTTTGTTTATTGGGACATTTATCATTCTCTATGATGAGACAGATAATTGCCATTGTCTGATTGTCCATGGCTTAGAAATAACTCACCAGGTCTTTAGGATGGGGAGAGGGTGTTAGGTTTAGAATGTAGATAACCAGGCCCTAGGCTTTAAAGTTTTCAGGAGAAAAATGATAGAGTCAGCGAGGGCATTAGGTGACAGTCAGATCGGGCACAGGAAGGGTCACAAGATTGGAGGGAAGTCAAGAATTTGAAAACGTTTAGTGCTAAGTTTGAAAGAACAAACAGGTAACCAGGTCATCCACAATCAGGGCATTCCTCATGTGAATGAGCTTTTTCTGCTTGGGTTCTGCTGTCTCTTGAGTCTCTTCCTAAAAACCTATGGGTTGACTACCATGCATGTCCAGTGTGGTTTATTGTACAGAGTAAAGGTTAGAACTAAAGAAAAAGGAAGCTGGGACAATTTTGCATTTGAGATGGACTAATTGCTACTTCCTTTTTCTCTCTCCCAATCTGAAAAATCCTGCTGCTTCTGAGCGTCTGGTGCCTGCTGTCCACTTGTTTAGGAAACATTGTAGTTTTGAGTTCGATTCCAACACTGACCTCATTAAGTTAGATTAGTGCTGCTGGGCACATAGGTCTTGGTTTATACCCTCTGCGCTTTTGTCCAGGTGAATGAGCAAGAGCTTATTCCTATCATGGAGGGGGATGTTAGGAACAAAGACCATCCATCCATCCCCCGGGGTCTAGTAGATTCTGAGGACCAGCAGCAAGGACACAAAGGTTCAAAAGTGTTCGGTCCTTCCTCTCCCTGAACTTGCCACCAACACTGGGGCGGGTGTGGCAGAGCAGAGGCGAAGGTGTGTGATCCATACAGGGTGCTATGGGTAGACCTCAGGAGGAAGTACAGATGAGATTAACACTCCGAACCCACCGAGACCTGAAATGTTTTAAGCCTTGAGATTCATGTTAGGGATGAAATGACACAGAGGCTGAGTCCCCGGGCAGCAAAGCCAGCATTGACGTTGGTAAAGGTGACGTGGTCACTCCGGCTATGACTTGCCCATAATAAGGGCATTCATGTAAGAGGAGCTAGGTGTGCATTTGGTAATCAAGGCCATCACCCAGATCCCATTCTCCTTCCCCTGAGGGGTTAGAATCGGCAGTCTTCAAAGCTCCCAGAGCACCAAATTCCCCTTCCTGACCGTCAACACACATTCTCCCCTCTCAAGTGCTCGTCTTTGCACAAAAGCTGACTGGAATTTGAGTAATACCAAATTACCCTTCAGCCAAATAGAGAGCACATGAGTTAGGATTGCCGAGCCTCCTCCTCCCTCTAACTGAAGGAGAGCCAAGAGGAACAGCAAGAATACAGCACAGGGAGAGAATCCTTACCCTGAACCCCTTAGAGTGACCGCAGCCAAGTCACATGTCCACACTGAGTGTAAAGCCATGCAGTCTCCTTCCCGGATCGCATTTATTGCTTAAAAGAAAGTATCTGAAGGTGCCGTGTGAAGCCAAGGTTTTGTTTAGAACCATGTGGTTTTTCTATGTATCCCAATCAGTGTGTGTGGTGGTTGGTATTCTGGGGTGTCTTTGAAGGTGCTGCCAGAGGGATTTAACTGAGGAGAGAAGACCCACCGTGAATGTGGGTGGTGCCTTCTCCTAGGCTGCTGTCCCAGACAGCATACAAAGGTGAAAGTGATTGGAACATCAGCATTTACCGTTCGCTGCTTCCTGGTCTTGCCGATATGTGAGGAGCACATACATGTTCCCAACACCACGAACACCTTCCCCTGCCGTGAAGGGACTGTGCCTGCAAACTGTGAGCCGAAACAGAGCCTTCCTGCATTTGTTGGGAATTTGGTCACAGCAGTGAGAAAACGAATCGATGAACAAGCCAGTGTTGTTAGCAAGGGCATTTTTTAAAATTTATTTAACTTTATTTTATGTGCATTGGTGTGAAGGTGTCAGTTCCCCTAGACAGTTGTGAGCGGCCATGTGGGTGCTGGGAATTGAACCCCGGTTCTCTGGAAGAGCAGCCAATGCTCTTAACCGCTGAGCCATCTCTCCGGGCCCCCAACATCTTCTCTTTTAGCTGTGTGAAAGTCGTGATGGGGGAAAGCTGTAAGGACAGTTTAGGTCTCTTATGGGGCATGCGGGGAGAGGAGCAGAAATTAAAAATAAAGATTCATTACTTTTGCCCTTGCTGAGACTAAATATCTAATAAGAAGACATTTAGGGGGAAAATTAGCTCACAGTTTAAGAACAACCGAGTGCATCAGGATAGGAGAGGCATGGTGGTACAAGCGTGAGGTAGCTGGTCACGTTATTCTTCCCAGTCAAGAAGCAGTGAGTAGAAAGGCAGTAAGGTTGGGCTATAATGCTTCAAGGCCCTCCACTAGTGAATCACTTCTTCTAGCAAAGCTCCACCTTCTAAGGGTTTCAGAATCTTCCAGAACAGCACCATTCCCTGCGGACCAAGTGTACACATACATGTGTCTGTGAGAGACAGTTCACATTCAAACCACAATGGTGAGGAAGGAGGAGCAGGAATCATTTCATGTCCAAGAACAGCATTGTGTTGTCTTCCCTGGAAGGCTTGAGGTCCATCCCGCCATAGCAGTTCCGTTCTGCTTGGCCTGAGTTCTCAGAATCCTGCAGCTGGTAAAGGCAGCGGTTCATTCCCACCAAACTCTTGAAGGTTTATTCTGAAAATGTCCCTTTTTTCCGTTCACAGTGACTAACACACCTAAGCACACCCCACCCTTCCCCATTTCTCTTCTTCTGGGACGCCATCAGTGATTATCCATGAACTGGGGAATGGATATGTCTTGACTCCACTCCATCCTCCCGTCACCCACTCACCACCAGCCCTGCCTCCCTCCCTTCAACTGCCGCAGCCAGATTGGTTTTCTCCAGGCTCCCTAAGCAACATGCCTTCCTGCTGAGAAACTTGGCACCTTCTTTTTCTTTCCTCCTGAAGCCGAAGTCTCCCTCCATCTCCCTGCTTCTGATACATGGTCTGAATCCCACCTGAATGAGCCCCTAGGTTTTGACTTAAATGTCTTGCTCCTGTGCAGTCTTCATACACAGGTTTCACTGCTGAAGAGCATCTCTCCAGCCTGTCTGCCACGGAGCATCCTGACCATAGCCCAGTCCTAGAGACTGGCCAGATCATTTCTGACTGCCAGAGCCTGCCCTGAGCAGTGTTCTGCTGTCTCTTCAGAGACCAGAGATGTGAGAAAAGCAGACAAAAGTGCCCAGCATAATCTTGTCTGAGGGCTCTTAGGAGACCCATGGCCAAAGGTGGAGCACCCAACCTGGAATCGTGTGGCTCTAGCTTTCAAGACAGGCCATCTCTGAGGGGGTCTCAGGTTCGCCTGGGGTCAGAGGTGATTTGCTCCCCCGAAAGCCCACTGTTAGAGCTAGAACTTGACCTTCGAGTCATTTGTGGAAAATCAGGTTATAGAGCTGATTCCCCCCAGCCTCTTCTTCATAAACTACAGTTTCTAAGTGGCCATTATACCCACTGCACAAGACCCAGGCAGCTGCATCTTAGAAGTCTATTCATCATTTTGTTACCATGATAAAATATGTCAGTTTTCCAAAATGTGACTATACACATACCACTGACAGTACGTAAGATGCCATCACACGGCACAAAGCAGGGTACAGTGTAGAATTGCATAAAACAGTGATGGACTTTAAAAAAAAAAAAAAAAAAAGAGGCCCATCTCGGTCCCAGAGGTGATGGCTCAGCGGACACGGGCTTGTAGGCTGACAATGAAAACCTGATGACCTGAATTTGATCTCTGGAACCCACAGAAAGGTAGAAGGAGAAAACCGATTCCACGGAGTATGAATCTGATCTCCACACATTTGCCTCTACCACCACCACCACCACCACCACCACCAATAATAATAAAAATAATAATAACAACAACAGTGATGATGATAAGATAGGTCCAGTTAGCTGCCTCTAAAGCAGTGGTTCTCAACCTGTGGGTCATGGCCCCTGTATGTGTGTGGGGTGGGTGGGGGTGGGGGTGGTTGAATACCAGATACCCTGCCTATCAGATATTTACATTACGCTTTATAACAATAACAAAGTTACAGTTATGAAGTGGCAACAAATAATTTTATAGTTGGGGTGGTCACCACAACATGAGGAACTGTATTAAAAAAGGCTGGAGCATCAGGAAGGTTGAGAACCACTGCTCTAAAGGGATGGCAGAAGGGAAGGTGGTTCCACTGGGGAGCTCTGTGAGAGAGGACAAGAGGGGAGCATGAGCAGCAGAACCCCTGAATGCCCTTTTGCAAGGACATGGTAAAGTCAGTCAGTGTAGGCTGAGTATCTCCCATCCAAAGTGCTTGGGACCGGAAGCGCTTCAGATTGAGGTTTTCAAATTTGGGAATATTTGCATAGTCTTTATTGGCTGAGTATCCTAAATCTGAAAATACAATCTCTGAGATGGTCTAAAATCAGACACGTTTTGAGTGTTACGTTGGCACTCAGGAAGTTTGGGAGGTGCTGGGGACATGGCTCAGTGGGTAAGAGAGCTTATTGTACACGCACGAGGACCTGAGTTCACATCCCCATCACCCATGGAAAAACTAGACCATGCGCTTGTAACCTCAGCACTGGGGAGGGTGGAGACTTTTGCTGGGGTTTGTTGGGTGCTAGAAAATGTTGATTTCCATGGACAGTGACTCTGTCTCAAGGGAATGAAGTGAAGAGCAGTAGACAAGACATTCCTCCTCTGGCCTCTGCATGGGACCCACAGTTATGCACAACACACACAGACACAGCAAAAAAGAAAAGCGATTTAGGATTTCGGAGCATTTCAGATCTGGGTTTTCAGATGAAGGATGCCCAACTTGTAGTGCTATCCTTATCCTACTCAATAGCTGAGGCTAGAGAAGGAAGAAGTTCATCTATTGTCCAAGTGACATGATCTGTGTCTGAATCCAAAGCCTGCACAGTTGACCTTTAACATGTAGCCTCTTCCCGCTGTTCTCCAAGTTCCCGAAGCTTCAGTTTCCTATTTTCTCCCGGAAACCTCTTAGAAATGTAAGTTCTTGGGCCCCACCCAAATCCTGCTGAGCCAGAAACTCCTGGGGTAGGGCCAAACAACCTGGGCTGTCAACAGTCCTCATAGTGACATAAACTCAGCCTTGAGTACCACTGCTCTGCACTAGCCCTCTGACTGCTCCCCAAGAAGAGCCCCTTGTTTTTGTTTTTGTTTTCATTTTTCTTTATTAAGAAATTTTCTACTCACTCTACATATCATCCACAGATCCCACCTCTTCGCTCCTTCCACCCCCCAGCCCTCTCTCCCAAGCCACCCCACATCCCCACATCCCCCAAAATCAAGGTCCGAGTCAGCAGAGCCCAGCACACTGAGTCTAGGCAGGTCCAAGCCCCTTCCCACTGCACCAAGGCTGAGCAAGGCGTCACACCACAGGCACCGGATTCCCAAAAGCCTGCCCATGCACCAGGGATGGATCCTGATCTCCCTGTCTGGGTGCCCCCCAAACAGTTCAAGCCAAACAACCATCTTCCGTGTCCAGAGGGCCTAGTCCAGTCCCATGGGGGCTCCACAGCCACTAGTCTACAGTTCATGGGCTTCCACTAGTGTGGCCGGAGAAGACCCCCTTGTAATGCAACCTAGAACCCACGGGAGCATCCCAAGATGCTGGCTGTAGATAGATCTCTCACCATTCTGTCTGGTGCTTCTGTGCTGCCTAGCTCCTCATTAAGACACGTGGAGCTTGAAGTAGGCCTGATGGCTTCAGGGCTCTACGAGGAATTTTCCAACAGAAAAAAGTCTCTTAATTCCACCAAGGCTTTCTTGCTATTTTCTGTGGCCCTTGCTATTTCATTTGCTCTGTCTGTACAGCTCAATGTCCGTTGCTTGCTATGTCCTTAGTCATGTATCCAACCACCATCTGTGCGATGGGCATAGTAGCCAGGGTTTGTATTTGAAGAGTGAGAGACAAATTCAGACGTTTTCTCAGAGCCTCCATATCCACCAACCGGAAAAGTGCCCTCTGCCCCCAGGGCAGGGCGCTTTGAGGAAGGCCTGGGGAGGCCCTTCTCTCAGCCTTGCTGCCTGTAAGACTTCCTGAGAGGACAAGGGTTCCTCTAAGGAGCTGCAGGACAGACAGCAGGCAACTGCGGAAAAGAGTGGAGTGGAGTTGGGGCGGGTGATAGGGAGAGCAGTCCAGACTGAGTGGCCACCCTGAGAAGATCTGGAGCGGGGAGTAACCCCAGCCCTGAGGAATTCAGTTCAGAAGGGCTGAGGCACGTGTGAAGTGAGAGGGGAAGTGAGATGAGGTAGCTGGAAGAAGAGGTTGACCAACTAACTCACCTTTTGGTCAGAGGATAGAGTTTGAACGTTAGGGAAATGGGAAACCATTTCTTTCTCTTTTCTTTTTTCTCTACTTCCTCCCTCCCTCTCTCCTTCCCTCCCTCCCTCCCTCCTTCCTTCCTTCCACCTTTTCTAAGACGGGAGGCCTCACTATGTAGGAGGCCTCACTATGTAGACCGAGCTGACCTCAGACTCACAAAGATCCACCTGCCTAGGCATTGTGAGTGCTGGGATGAAAAGGCTGTGCTACCTGAGCCTGGTCACAAATGGGAAACCACTTTTAGAAGAGAAGGGATGGGGAAAACTGGTTTTAGCAGGATCACGCCACTATAACTGTGGCCTTATTTAAATACAGTTCTTTTATTGTGGTGGGTGTGTGGTGGTTACTGTTGGGTTGGTGTTGGGCGTGTTAATAGACTGAATTCTGGGAGTTTCTCTCCCCCCCCCTCCCCGAGTTGGGAGGTGGCGGGTGGTGGATGGGCCCTTTCTTTCTGTAGACTGCTCAGCAGAAGCCTGTGTATTTGAGTGCCCAGCCAGAGGTGGGCAGGAGGGCAGGGGCTGTGCTGCTTTTGTTCATTTGCATGGCTTTTATTACTCAGGCACAGAAAGAAGTAGGTCACCTTTAGCATTGTCTCCTGCTCCTGCCTTCAGGGTGTCTGTCCTTGCTGGTCACAGTTCAGCACACAGAACGCTATGTCACCCTGTTTGCCTCCATCACCCTCAAATGTGACTACACCACCTCTGCTCAGCTCCAGGACGTGGTGGTGACGTGGCGCTTCAAGTCTTTCTGCAAGGACCCCATCTTTGACTACTTCTCTGCCTGTGAGTACCCCGGTTCTTGTTCTGCCCATCGTTCCCAGGCATCTGTCTGTAAGCTATCATCGGGGTCGAGAAATCATTATAGATCACAAGTTGTCATCACAAGGAGCTGCTCCGACACTGTCCCTTCACTTTTCAGATAAACTGAACCCAAGTGGCACAACTAGTTGTTCAAGGGCCAATGTCGGTTCCTTTGCACCATGCTGTTCAGGCAGCGCAGACGTAAAAGACCTAGCATGTCCTTCCTCCTGGGCACTCCTCATTCAAACCAGCCCTGAGCCATGTGGGACCTCATGTCAGTGGCCATCGTTTGGAAGATCCCTGCCCACTGCCTCACTTTGAGTGATGTAGAGCTCTCTGCCTCCATGAAGCCTCTTTGCCCTTGGGCATCTCAGGTCACTGCGATGGGCTGCTCCTTTGCTTTAGCCAAGTCTGGCTTCTCAGTAACAATGGGCCCATTCACGTCACCTCCTTCCCAGATGTCCATTTCTAACCTCCCTCCAGCACCGAAGGAGCCTGGAGCCCCACAGTCAGCCTGCAGTGATTAGACCTATAGAAAGTGTGAGAGTACAAGGAGGTACCCTGTTTGGGGGAAGGAAGTGGGCGTTCTGAGGTGAAGCAAAGGGAGGAAGGCATGGCTGTGTGCCTCCTGTAGCTCTGGGGCTAATGCCTTACAGCAGGACTGGACAGAGCCCCCAGATCTCACTGAGCTTCCCCATTTAGTCTGCATCGTTTCCTTGTGGGCTATTCTTAAACACTTGGGTAAGTGACGAGGGAGGAGACTAGGGTGGTAGACAGAAGTCACCTGGAAGATTTAGCAGCCTTGGGGTTCTCTACTGGGAAGGATGGGTGAGTGACCTCCCACTGGAGCAGAAGCTGAGCGCGCGCGGGGGGTGGGGGGGGAGGCGGGGGGGGGCACTTTGTAAATGAAACAAGGGAAATTGGGAAGAGAGACGGCGCAAGAGAGATGGCGCATGCAGACAGGCTTTGGACATGATGGCTTTCAAGGGGTTTGAAGTCTTATGATGAGAGAGGAGTTCCTGATGTCGGCGGGGGCTTGTTAGCCTCCTCCAGACCTGCAGAATCTGAATGATCTGAGTGACTTGCTGCCCTCTTCTCAGCATACCAGGCCGCCTTATCCCTGGGCCAGGACCCCTCCAACGACTGTAACGACAACCAGAGGGAAGTCCGCATCGTGGCCCAGCGGCGGGGACAGAATGAGCCGGTGCTGGGGGTGGATTACCGGCAGCGCAAGATCACCATCCAGAACCGTGAGTATGGGGGCGGTGGCAGGGGAACTAAGGCTTGAAGAGGATCCAGACACAGGCCTAGCAGGCTGAGTCAGCACGGGATTCCCCAAGATCTTCTGGGGCCTGATAACTGACTTGGTCACTGGGTTGTTTGAAACAAGTGCCGGCTTCTTAGAATGTATTCCACCGTCGGAAGCCACTTCTCGGGAACTTGCTCTATGGACCAGAGGATGTTCCTCAGCCTTGGCTAAAGGTCAGGGTGTTCCTGGTTCTTTTGCTTCCTGAGACTCGGGCTAAGATGTGATCTGGCTCCTTTGATGCTCTTTACAAATCGTTCTCAGGGCCCATTCACACACCAGGTCCCCGAGGTCCCCTTGGTCACTCTTGATGCCTTGAAGCAGGAGCTTGAGGGCAAGTGGATTCTTTGAGACTACTGCCATCCCTGGACAGAGGACGCAGCACTGACTTGGACCCAAGCCTGGGTAAGAGTTGCAGTGGTTCCCCTCACAAGCCTAGCTACCAGCATCAAGTTGGCCATTTTCTCTGCCTCTTCTTTATCATCGGAGAGAGAGCCACATGGCATCTGTCCCCACGCTGCAGTAAATATCAAATGCATGGGTTGGGAGCTGGGTCTAAAGTAGGTCCTTTCTTTGTACCTGGTACAAGAAGCCCCCACAGCACTGGGTCCACAGCTGGACTCAGGCATGGTGACTGTTCTGTACTTGCACGTGACATTGAGCAAACCCCTTCACATTTTGGGTTTTTTTTTTTTTTTTTTGCCTCAGTTTCTATTAAGTGGGACTGGCTGTAGAGCCCATCTCAAAGGGAGTTGTGATGTAGTGTATGAAAATCACTTACCTAACAGTTAATACGGAGTAAACCCAAGTCACTAGTCATGATGTTTTTTATACACAAAGGATTGACTAGTGTCCCACATTCCTCGCCTGTCATCCTGGATTACTGTGAAGTTATAGTGACAGAGACTATTTCAGTGAGCTTTATATGCCATGTTAAAAAAAAAAAATTATTGGTGGGGATGGAGAGATGACTCCACAGTTAAGAATAATAGAACACTTGCTTTTCTTCCAGAGGACCCAGGTTCGATTCCCAGCACTTGCATGGTGGCTCGCAACAGTCTGTAACTCTACTTCCAGGGGATCTGACACCCCCTTTTGGTTTCCTTGAGCACCAGGCATGCAGGTGATGCACACAGACACATGTGGCAAAGCACACCTATATACATAAAAATATGTAAATATACATAAAAAACGAACAAACAAAAACAAAAAACGAAAAAAGTATTTGTGGGGCCGGAGAGCTCAGTGGTTAACAGAACTTGTGGCTCTCTCAGAGAACCCAAATTTGGTTCCCAGTACTCACTTCAGGCAGCTCACAGCCGCCTGTCACTCCAGTTCCACGAGGCCCAATGCTCTCTTTCCGGCCTTTACAGCACTGTTCTGACATATACAAAACCACACACGTGCATGAGCGCACACACACACACACACACACACACACACACACACACACACTCAAATAAAAACAATAAAAGTAAATCTTAAAATAAATTTGCTCACTATAAGGGCAAAAACAAATAGCCGGCTGCTTGTGATGCTCAGTGTAAGGAATTAGTGAATATTTTATGACCATTTAAAGGGCCAACTTAACCGCTGCTTCTGATTTTGTAATGCTTTAATATGATCTTTTCACACTTGCCCTCTGATTTTCCCCAAGGTCACCTTTGACTCTTAGCCTAGGGACCATCTGCATCTCCCTCAGCCTCCACGTGCATCTGCAGAGGCTTCGATGGTTCTGCTTCCTCAGAATTGGCTCTGATCTGACCCCTGGGATCACAACTTTAACTAGCTGGCCTCCTTTAGAGTTTCTGAAGGATGAGAAGTCCCCGTGGAGAATCTGGAGGGCCGCCTGTGTGTCTGGTTCTGAGTAGTACCTTTCACTACCTCTCTTCCTGACCACTTCCTGGTCAGACCCCATCTTGTTCGCACTCCTAAGGGAAAGCAGTATTTCCCCGAGGGCTGGATTTCTACCTCCAGGCTCAGCCTGACTTCTCAGAATCCTTGTTTTCTGACACTTTCATGTCCGAGTTTCTATCACTCCAGAGGACCCTGCCAAATAAGGTCATGGGTCGTCTAAAATATTAACATGTCTGAATAGCCTCGCCATGCTGACATTCCTCAGAAACTCTTTATGACTCCAAGGAAAGTTGGGTCAGGTTTCCATTGCTCACTCAGCACTTTCATCATTCCACCGGGTCTGGGGGTGGGGGGGGAAGTGGTAGGTTTAGAGAATCATGAGGGAAAAAGGCTTCGCCAGGACTGACGTAAAAGAGAAGGAAACAGAAGTCAAAGTATGCTCCAGTCTTGCATGACCTCACGTTTTTGTTTCGGTTCCTCAGTAGATATTTCTTGACAAACAGACAATAACCAGTTGCAGATAGGACCACCGACTGTGCAGCAGCAAGCCTTGGAACGCTGAGGTCTGTCTGATCGCTGTAGTTTCTGGGAGAAGCCTGCAGGCCATCACTTGGTGCTGCTCTGGGGCTCTGACTGGCTTTTAAACCGGCCAGCACAGAGAGGGGCTGGCTCCTCTTGAATTTCCCCACAGGTTTGTAACTTAACAATTTGAGCCATTGGGTTTGAGAACATTGGCCAGATTCGCTTAACTTGAAAGTGTATGTTAACCATTGGGTGCTCTTCATCGGGCCCCGGCGCGTCAGGTACTCACAGGAACGGAGATTCTTCCCTTGGCTAATACTCTGAAAATGCTGGCCCTATTTTCTGTGCACCTTTAAGTGCATTGCACAGCTGTCCCTTCGAGCACCAGAGCCACTCGATCATCTTGGCCTGGGAAGGGGTCTAGGCTGTGACGCTTTCCCTCCATTTTGGAGGAAATAGCAGGGCTCACCAGTCTGAGGCAGAGTTGTGGGTGTGAACCTATGTGTTGTCTGTCCACTCCCTTAACCTCTCTCTGTCTTCAGTTTCCTTATCTGAAATATAGCTAAGTCATCATACCCACTTCTCAGTTGGCAAATAATCAGGAACTAGAGATATCAGTAATGTAAGCAAAGGGAAGCTTGCTTTGATCTTCTGTATAAAATCAGAAACACACAGTCCACACCTAGGGCTGCACTTCATTAAATTCTTGGGGGCCCCAAGTTCATTTCTACTTACCCAGATTGTCATCTTTCTAAATGTATGGGTCCATTTTTTTTTTTGTTCCTAAAATAAAAGGCCTGTGGCTGTGTAATTTGCAAAGTAAAGAGGTTTGTATAGCTCATCACTCTGGATGCTGAAAGTCCAAGAGAAGATGGTGCCATTGGTTTGGTCTCATGAAGGCTCACGGCTGGGTCACCACCATGAGAAGAGCATTATTGTAGAAGTGCCTACAAGAATCAGAGCTCCCAGGGGGATACAGGAGACCAGAGCGCAGAGAGGACCATCCCTGTTCTTCTATAACCACCTATTCTGTTGTGAACTGAGGAGATGTAAGGATGACTTTAATCTCCTCTCAGGATGGCAGCTCATCCAAGTGACCTAATTACTGTTCTCATCTCCATCCCTTAAAGATTTCACTGCCTTCCAACAAGCCACACTGAGGCTAAGCTCCCCATACGTGAAACTTTGGGAGACATCCTCAGACTCTATCCAATTCACAGCACCCAGGCATGAAGTAGAAGAGATGAAGAAGCCAGAGAAGACTGTTCACATGCTCTTTAAAAGAAAGTTCCCGAAACACTCTTGCATACATTCACAACTGCATCACTTGGAAGAGAGGGTGGAAAACATCGACTTTATTCTACGTGGTCCCCAACTTAGTCTATTTTATGCTCTTTCATAATAGTGTACCCGAGACTAGGTAATTATAATCCGTGGCAATGCAGTGGCTTATGTTTATAGAGGCCAAGAAGTCTGGTGAGGGTCTATTGCTACACTATCACACAGCAATAAGAGGGCAAGAGGGGACCAAACTCATCCATTTGTTTGTTCGTTCTTGTTTTATTGTGGCTTATAGGGTTTCACTATGTAGCTCCGGCTGTCCTGGAACTTGCTATGCAAGCGGGTAGCCCAGGCTGGTGTGAAGCTCACAGAGTTCCGCCTGCCTCTGCCTCCCAAGTACTGGGATTAAAGGTGTGCACCACCACGCCCAGCCAAACTCACCCTTTTGAATGGCTCTAACCTACCTACCCATGAGGATAGAGCCCTTATGGCTCATTCTGCTTTTTAAAAGTCTCTTCTCTCTCTTCCTCCCTCTTTCTCAGAAAGTGTTCGATTGAACTTCCAGGGCACAGTCTATCAAGGTCCTAATCTCTTAATACTAATAAAATACAATTTTATTTCAACATGAGTTTTAAAGGTAACAAACATACATTTACTTAAACTGTAGAAGCTGTATACATACCCAGCAATTCTGTGATCCGGTGAGAAGGGAGCAACATCCGTGGGAGGCAACTGGGACTCTACTTCACCCACATACAGGGACATATAGTGGAAATTAAACGAGATGATGTATCCAGAGCCTTATAAACTACTAGTGGGGTTCAATGGGGAGTTTGTCCATCAACCCCATCTCTGGGAACAAAGGAAGGTCTGAGGAGGGACCTGGGACCTCTTTCTCATCAATCACAGGCCTTCTTAGGAATGACAGTTCTGAGGTCCCGAAGCTACCATGTCCCAATAACTGGCCCTTTTCCCTTCTCTCCTCCATAGGAGCAGATCTTGTGATTAATGAAGTGATGTGGTGGGATCATGGAGTATACTATTGCACCATTGAGGCTCCAGGAGACACATCAGGAGACCCAGATAAGGAGGTGAAGCTCATTGTCCTGCGTAAGTGCTGCTGGCGCCGTCAGGTCACCGATCAGTGTGCTTGTTTGTTTGTTTGTTTGTTTTTGTTTTTTGTTTTCATGCAAAAGCACCCACCAATAGCAGCAGCAAAGCCAGAAACAAACAGGTCTGTATTGCTGTCATTGGACTGGGAGCTTCTAATGGTCTCTTACTAAAGTTAAACTTTTTTACCAGCATATCACTTGAACTTAACCTCTAGGTCAATGGCTGTATTTACGAAGGTCTAGAACATTGGCTCTCAGCCTACGGACGGTGACCCCTCTGGGGTCGGAAGACCCTTTCACAGAGGTTGCCTGAGACTATCAGAAAACCCAGATAGTTACATTAGGATTCATAACAGTAGGAAAATGACAGTTACGAAGTAGCAACCAAAATAATTGTATGGTTGAGGGTCACCGCAGCATGAGGCGCTGAATTAAAGGGTCTCAGTGTTAGGAAGGTTGAGGGGGCTAGAACGTTGGAGTCGAGGCATCTCTCTGAAGAGTTTGTTCGTCCTCTTTTGGCTTTCTCTCCGCTGTAGATTGGCTGACAGTGATCTTCATCATCCTTGGAGCCCTCCTTCTCCTGCTGCTGATTGGCGTGTGCTGGTGCCAGTGCTGCCCTCAGTACTGCTGCTGCTACATCCGCTGCCCCTGCTGTCCTGCCCGCTGCTGCTGCCCCGAGGAAGGTAAGAGAATGCGAGTGGCAGTGGGTTGGGCGTGATGATACACGTGCCCGATGCCCCACGCGGAGGGGTTTAGCTTTCTCAGGTTAAAGTTCACGGTCGTGGTCGTCTTCCCGGGATCTCCTTCATGCCTTCCTCCTTTGAAGGTTCAGAAGATGTGGAACTGCAGCCCTGAGGATGATGCTCAGGAATGCTCTAAAGCCATAGGGAAGGAGGCCCATAACAGGATTTCTACCTACGAGATTCTTTTCTTAGTATGCAGATGGAGTTGGATCAACTGTTTCATATGGAAGTTTTTCCTTTTGGGTATTTGAGCAAGTCAACTTTTCTTTCCCAGGTCAGAAGTGGAATAGAAAGTTCCAGCACTCTAGCCACGCCTTTTTTTTTTTTTTTTTTTTTTTTTGGCAACCTGTCCCCATCCCAAAGCTCTCCAAGGGCCCCGGCCCCGGCCACCAGTCATCTATTTAGTATGTGGAAGATACTCATCATTTCGGAGAGCCCAAGCATTTTAGGAGTTGTAGTTTGGAAACCAGGGACAAAGGCCAAATATGTTTCTTATTCTACTACAATTTCACAGCATTACTTAGAGATGGGATAAAGACAGGATGAAAAGAACAGGACAATTGAGAAAGCATTGGTCCTCAAACTGAAGCTCACACTGAATCATGTAGCGGTCTTGGTCAAAATTAATTGCTTCTCCTCCGCCAGCTTCTGACCCAATGGGTCTGGGGGAGTAGGGTCCTAGAATGTGTATTTCTCAAACATTGCCAGGTGATGTAAAGCTTGTGCCGGGGAAGGGGAGAAGGAACAGAAACTCTTAGCATAAGCTTTCTTTGGACTGGAATTTCATCCTATAAAGGAGAAATTTTGGTCCAGCAAAATAACTGAGTGGGTAAGGTGCTTTCTGCCAAGTCTAACCCCCCTGGGTCCCATCCCTGAGACCCGTAAGGTGGAAAGAGAGACCTGACTCTTTTGAATTCCACATGTGTGCCCTGGCACATATATGTCTGCACACACACACACACACACACACACACACACACACACACACACACAAATATAAGACTCCAATATGCCCTAAAATTTTAAGTTGCAGAATACATGTTAAAGGCAAAAGAATTTAAAGAATGTTCTGTAGAGCTCTTTCCTTAGTAAAGAGATGGGAGCTGAATCAACTGTTTTAACTGGAAGTTTTTCTTTTTGTGTATTTGTTTTAAGTAACATTTCCTTTTCCTGTAAAGTACCACATGGTGGAAAAATCTGAGAAATTAAAAAAAGAGTAGACTAAGTCAAGTCCCCAGAGACAACCACTCCTGCCATCATGGTCCATGGGGAAGAAGGAAGTTTGAAAGGAAAACATGATGAATTACTCATGATGATAGACACCCGCCTTAATCTGTGACGTCAAGGTCAGTGGTCTGAGTCTGGTTTCAGGACTGTGTTCAGAGGCTGCCTGGTGTCTTACAGGAAAAGAGAAATAGCTTCTATTGGATGTCTGTTCTGTGTGCCCTTTCCATCTACTTCCTCACGGGTCCTCACCACAACCCACCAAAGGCATATGTCATCACCATTTCACAGGCAAGGTCAGGGAAGTCTCACAGCTAGGAAGTAGCAGTCACTTGCACAGTGTTAAACCTCTGATTTGTGTCTGTATGTCCCACATGGGAACTGTCACAGCCTCTGTGGACTAGCCGAGGTTATAGACTCTTAAAAGAGGAGGAAATAGCCGAGAACTCAACACGAGTCTATAGCGCTTCCTACCTTTGGGACAGAAACCATGGAGATGTCACTGTCATGGGTGTAGTCACATGTGAGATGAGATAAGTCCTCACAGGATGACTCCTTAGGCCACAGGGCATTAAAAGCAGGCAGGACTAGACAAAGCTGGTATGGGTGATGGATGCATGTGATTAGTGAGCTGAGAAGCAAAGGTTTCTCTTCAGTGGCTGGAGTTTGCTCATGTAAAAGAACCTGTGTAACGAAGAACTGCAGGCCATAGTTAAGGTCCTTGGATTTGATCAGACAATCTCACGTTTTGAACTTTCCTGACAAGTTTGGTGACAAGATGGATGGCAGAGAGGGCCAGGGATGGTTAAGAAAAGCTCTCTGAATAGGGCACAGATTCTGATGCTGTTTTATTTTATTTTTAGACTGAGATAGCCCTAAGAATGTTTATAAGCAAAGAACCAAAAGGGACTATATGGAAGCCCCATTTAAGGAGTGGGATGATCATGGATGAGTGGCATTACCCTTGGAAGCAGAATTAGGTCTACCAAGAAAGAGCTGGCCTTAAAAAGGAAAGAGACAAGAGTGTTGGCAGCCTGACCTCTGAAGAGAGAGGTCACTCCAGGTGGAGTATGGTCATTGTATGAAGGAGAAAGTTGAGGGAGCCCACAGCCGGCCACAATTTCTGCAAGTCAAAGTCCAGTGCTGGAGACACAGCTTAGTGGCTTTGATAAGATCCCTGGGGTCAATCCCAATAGCGTAAACAAACCAACAGAAGGAAACCTCCAGAAGGATGTTGGAGATTCTTGAACATCTCCCACCACAGTCCGTCTCCCCAGCCAGCTCCCACCTTCCTGAGTCGTGATGGGGGGGCTACAGAGAACAATGGAAGTAGCCCTCCATTTTAGCAGATCTAGATAATCCACTTACTGTTGGTAAACAATGCTCATAGGACCTAGAGATGAAAGTTTTTGAAATTGAGCCTAATTTTTTATTTTTTTACAAGAACTAGGGCAGCTTCTCTTATCTCTGAGTTTCTGGCCTCCCCTCCCCAGAGAATCTCTCTCTGTATATAGCAGGGGAGAGTGAGGCCTGGAGAGATTTCGCCAGTTACATTGACCTTGGTGATCTAGGCCCATCACTGTTGGTTCCCTGTGAGGGCTAGTTCCTGTCCTTAGCAAAGAAGATGCAGTCTGTTGGAAATTCATGGGGACCTGAGCAGTGGGGTGTCTAGGATGAGGAAAGGCATGTTTGATAGAAAGATCTCCCAATGGTGCCCATCCTGAGGAGGACCATTGGAGGTCCCATTGCTTGGCTGAGGCCGGGAATCCTCGGCTGACAGTTCCTTGAGGCTAAAATGAACATGGTGTTCCCAGAAGCTGCTGAGGATGTTGATGAGATAGGACTGGCCAGTGAGAAAAAGCAAAGGACTGGGTGGCCATGAGGTAAAAGGATGGTAAAGAAGGAGAGGAGGTGGTAATAACGGTGATCAGTCATGGCCGAGGGAAGTTGTGAGGTCTCCGGGGACATGGGGAGGGGGTGGAGAAGGGAGTAGTGGTTTCAGAGGAGGGTGAAGTGTTGTCACTCTGTCCCCGGTAGATGCCTTCAACATAATGCCCTGGCTCTTCTCTCAGAGTCAAAGCTGAGTGCTGTTTAGACCCCATATGTGTGTGTTTCTCCTGGAGCTAAGGCAAAAGGAGCAATTTGTTATGATAACAATGATAGTCTCTGTCTACTGACTCACCTTTTAGGCACTCCATATGTTTTGCCTCATTTAATTCCAGAAACCCTGTGAAAGATCTATTATGTCTGGCCCAGAGACTCCGAAAACTTTAAGTCTCACAGCTAGAGCTGCCTGGCCTTCACAACCTTTATTAGAGCTGCCTGGCCTTCACAACCTTTATTTAAAGAAGGCTATCCCCGATGGCCCCATTTCTCAGAATTTGCCTGAATCCTCAGTAGCCAGCTCCAAGCTGAGAGAAACTGCATCATACCCTCCCGTGTATCATACCACATCACACCCCAGGTCACTAAGAGACGTTGGGTCGGAATGCCACTTCCGTGATCTCAACTTCCTCATCTACTTCCCATATTAAAAGACATCTCAAGGCCAGGCGTGGTGGCTCAGTACTTCGGAGGTGAGGAAGGAAGATCATTAAGTTTGATGCCCGCCAGGGCCAGAGAGTGAGACCCTATTTCAAAAAAACAGGGGCTAGGAGGGGAGAGAAGGGTTAACTTGTTTACATAAACTATTAGGTGTGCTGATAGTTGGCCAGCAGTGGGGGTTGCTAAGCTCTTGTCCCTGTCTCCTTTGAGGCCGGAGAGCTGTGGGCTGGTGTTCAGGTGTGGCAACTCTAGGAGCTGTTTCAGTTTGCATTTGATTTCCTCCTGGGCTGTGACTCACCAATCGGGCTGGAGCCCTGGACACTTTCGGGAGGTTCTGCGGCAACCACTTCCTGTTGTGTTGGAAGATGGCCTCTCAAGGGCCTCAGCAGACCTCCCACCCTGTGTAGCTGGGTACAGAATACCTGCCTTCTGCCCTGTTCTTCTGTACTGGAGGGGGACCGAGGCAGAGCGGGGCTGGTTTACAGCTAACCCTGAAGTCGGTGAGACTCCCAGCCACAATTTGTCACAGCATGCATCTGCTCCACGCATGGATAGGCAGAGTCTTTGGGAGGCAAGTGGTACTTGGCCACAGTTACCTCAAAATGGAAACGAAAACAAATAAGTGTTTGTATTTTTAATTGCACTTGCTGTGGACTGTGTGCTTCGGGCCAGCCACACCTAGAGGACCGAAGTGACATTTCATAGACCCTTATGTTGCTTATTTACACGGTCGCCACAATACAGGACTATTTCCTTTCCATTTGCCTGTCCCATCCCTACTTGTTGTAAAGGCTCCACTCCAAAGCGCTTCAGCTTTATGTATCCCTGGCCTTCCTCCCACGTGGTTTCCCTAACCCAGGACTGGTGTACCAGCTGGAAGCATGCTTTGGCGTCACAACGTAGGCTTGTTCTTGCCCTCAGAGCAGATGGCCCTGAGCTTGCCCTGCGGGCTCAAGAGCCCTAATTCATGGCCTTCTCTAAGCTTTTTACTATGTGAGACTTCTCTGTGAGGCCTGAAGTTTGACTGACTTCTTACTTAGTACATGTGTACTGCCTATGCACTTTAGGTGACCGGGAGAGCAAGGAGCCGAGGCTATGTTTCGAGGCTAAGGAGTTGAGTTTTTTAAACGTAGACCATCCTAAAGTGTGAGAGGTGTAGCCTTTAATACAGGAAATTCATTCCCAGCCCCCTTGCTAAAGACATAGCTGAGTTATTGTTCCTTAACTCTTGTTTCCATGAGAGATAGGTAAAGAATGGGTTCCAAGGCAAGAAGCTGGAAGCACAGACCGAGCGAGGTGGGAGGTGTGGGACTCTGGCTGGCTAAGGGTCTGTGTTTCTCCTCCTTCCCCTGCAGCCCTGGCCCGCCACCGCTACATGAAGCAGGTTCAGGCCCTAGGTCCTCAGATGATGGAAAAACCCCTGTACTGGGGGGCGGACAGGAGCTCCCAAGTTTCATCTTATGCAATGAACCCGCTGCTGCAGCGAGGTAAACTTTGCCAGAAAGCCATGGGAGGAAGAGGGCAGAGGGTGAGGGCAGAGTGTGGCCCGGGCAGAAGAGCTGCATGACCAATGGGGTGGGAGGGAGTGGAATCCTGCTAAATAACATGACCCCTTAATGCGCTGGTTCCTAGAAGGATGTCTGAGGCCCGCAGTTCAGTGTGCTCTGCCCTTGTCTCCATTCAGATCTGTCCTTACGGTCCAGCCTTCCACAGATGCCGATGACCCAGACGGTCGCTCACCCTCCGGTGGCCAATGGTGTTCTGGAATATTTGGAGAAAGAATTGCGGAACCTCAACCCAGCCCAGCCTCCCGATCTCAGAGCCAAATCAGGCTACCCTGGCAGCATGCTGTCCTCCCTGGGCCCTGCAGAGGTTGTGGAACGCAGAGTCATCCACCTGCCCCCGCTGATCAGAGACCCACTGTCCTCCAGGACCAGCAACTCATCACACCAGCAGTGGCTCAACCCTCTTCCTTCTAGACACCGGGATCTGAGTGAGGCCAGGAGGCAGCGCTATCACTCGGATTTCCTCCAAGAGCTCCAGGACCGGGGGATCAGACCCTGGACCCCAGGGAGAAGGGAACTGGACCCCAATTGGAGTGGGAGGCACCATCGCTCTAGGCCCAACGAGTCCTCCATGCCCTGGTCAGACTGGGACAGCCTGAGTGAAGGCCCCTCGTCCAGTGAGGCCCCTTGGCCCCCCAGACGCCCAGAGCCCCGGGAAGGTGCCCAGAGGCACAGGAGACGCAGGCACCGCAGCTACTCGCCTCCCTTGCCCTCGGGCCCCAGTTCTTGGAGCTCTGAAGAGGAGAAAGAGTCACTGCCCAGGAACTGGGGTGCCCAGCACCGCCACCGCCACCGCCGCCGCCGTTCCCAGTCCCCAAACTGGCCTGAGGAGAAGCCACCCAGCTACTGTTCACTGGATGTCACTCCAGGCAAGAACAACAGGAAAAAAGGGAATGTGGAGAGGCGCTTGGTGAGCCTGGGGCATCCTGTGGAGGGTCGGGCATGGGCAGCAGCCCCTCAGCCAGCGGTCTCGGCCACAGCTGACACAGACCCTGCAGGGTCTTAGTTCTGCATAACGTCCAGGCAGGCCGGGGGCACTGCCTTTTCTTGGAATGAAAGGGCCGAGTCAGTGCAGGGTGCAGAAGAGGCCCAGGGCTTGCCTTCTCTGCCTCAGTGTGGATTCAGCCATCTTCCCTGTCCCGGGAGGCAGGTCAGGTGGGTTCTGCTGGCATGCAGGTGAGGAACTCAGTCTCAGAATGACTAAGCACTCCGTGGTAGGGAGCTGGTGGGGTTCCAGCTGCCGCCTGGACCTTGACTTTGCAACCTTATTTCCACAGCCCAGATTAGAAATGGGCAGGGCTGTGGGTGTTTAAGTGGGCAGCAACTGTGCTGTGTGTGAGGATGAGGTCTTCCCAGATACCCCTGGAAAGGCTTACCAGACTGATGAAAACCACCCTTGGCCTCCCACTTAGGAGAAAAACTTTGGGATGCTGTGAACACTGAAGATACGGGTCACTGTGTAGCAGGAAAATATACCACATCAGAGCCTCAGGCTTTTTTTTTTTTTTTTTTTTTTTTTTTAAGAGGCATGATTTTTAAGCCAGGTGTGGTAGTGCATAATTTTACTCCCAACCTGCAATCCCAGCACTCAGGAGGCTGAGGCCGGAAAACTGCCACAAGTTCAAGGCTAACCTGATCTACTATCTGAGACCCCATCTCAGAAACACCATGACTTTAAGAAATCATTTTACAATTAACCCACCTAGGTGCCAGCTGATACCTTATGAAAACATTCCGCCATTGCTCAAATGTAAATGAACTACTTACTCAGAAGCAATTTACTGGCTACCCATGAATAGATCTTCTCAGACCAAAACCTTTTCCTCATTTTCGTCTGCTGAGACAGTCAAGTCTCAGGACACTCTGAGACGAAGTCCCAGAGGAAGGGCATGATCTAAGAACAGCAGTCTCTTATGGGCTTGGAAGGACATACCTATCATCATCATCATCATCAAATACACACACACACTTTAAATCAAATATCTGTGTGAAAGAGCAAGCCCCTCAGGGGAGGTACAGAGTGTTTCTCTAGGCCCAGCTGAGATGGGAGAGTGGCGTGAGGAAGGCAGGGAAGCCCAACGGTGCTTCTGAAATCATCAATGGCAGCTTTGTCATCTCACAGGCGTCGTGTGAGCGCCGAGATCTGCAGTAGTGAGAAACTCCTACCAGCACCAGGCACTGAGCTGTGTACAGTTTGCACATGTTATATACTCCCCGCAACAGTCCTGTTCTGTGAGGCCTTTGAGTTAAAGATTTGTTTGCCAATGGCCCTCTGCCCTGGGTGGGTCCCTGACAGTTTCAGCTGAAGCTTAAGGAGTGACCTCATCCACACACGATATAGTTGCTTCTCTGTAATAGGGTCAGTAGAAGAAGTCCTGGAAAAAGCACAGAACCAGTTAAAGCTGGACTGTCTAGAACCACCCTCACATGGTGACCTTTCTATATCGTGACTCAATATGCTTCTTCCTTTTAGCAGAAAAATGTGATTTTCAAGTTTCTGGCTCCAAGGTCTGAGCCCTATTTTCTAATACTTTTTTCTTTTCTTTGTTTTCCTCCAGTTAAATTATGTAGCTCCTTTTAAGCCTTAGAATCTAAGGGAAGGGTACAAGACATTTTGCTCTAGACACTAGAGCCAGTCCTGCTTATTTAGTCCTCACAGGGCTCAGAAAAGCACAAAAGACAAGGCACATAGCCAATGAAGAACGAAGCCCAAGCTTGAACATAGCCCTCTGGTTCGTAAGCTTTTTCAGTAACCCACAGTGTTCCCGCAGATAGAAGGCAATTTTTGAGATCAATAATGCTGTCTAGCAACTGTAGCTTCCCAATTTTCTCCAAGTATCAGTACTTTAAAAGAAAAAGAGAGAGAGAGAGAGAATCATCAAGATGTGCATAAGAAGTAATTCTACCACAATTTTCGTTTATAAAGTTATCTTTGAGAAGCAAAGATTTTGTCCAAAATAATTTAACGCCCCCCCCCCATTGTTTGGGGTCTGAGTTTGTTTTTTGAGAAATATCACTTAATTGCATTCTACCGTCTACTTACATTCTGACAGTGACCAGAGGTCCAGGACCAAAGCTTGACTCTGCAGATTAGTTCATTTAGAGGATGCAGTTTGTTGTCTTTGTAGCTTTGCTGTGAAGGAGACTCTCTGTGCTGGCTGGAGCTCCATGCTTCCTTCCTCCATGGGATTCTGAAGGCACGGGAGCTCGGCACTTTCAATATTGTGCACAGTTAGGCCACTAGATGGTGACTTTTGATCGAGTGTCACTTGAAGTTTTTCTATTCCTTGCATTAAAAATACGTTATCACCGTTAAGTCAGGCTTTATCAGTGACGGGTTTACCATAACTTTAAATAAAATAGCCACTAAAATATTTTGAATAAATATTTAATATTTTTAATAAATATCCATTAAGATATTTTAATCAGAGAAACAGGAAATAAATGTCTTTAGGCTCATGTGGGGCCCTCCCTCTCAAGAGTAATGTTTAACACACATACACAAACAAGGACTTCTGTGCACATAACGCACTGGCAATCCAAACTAGGCAAGAAGTGCTGTCTGCTCAGTGCCCAGGAAAACATGAACTTCTGCTGTGGGAGCGCCCGCTCAGCTTGACTCCAGCCGAGCTCTTGCTCACTGGTGGCCTTTTCATTCAGTCAAAACGAAGCAGGAACTTCAAGCTTTCCACTCCAGTGACTTCAGACTGAATGGGCCCTGTGTTCCTAGCCTCCTTCAGACTATCTTTCTTTCCCATCTTGCCCTAATAGAATGAGTTCCAAGACCCTCTGGCATCTTCAAAACTTGGCCCACATACATCTGTTCTAAGTGAGGAGAAAGCCATGGTGTTTGTTTCTGGGCTAATCTGTAGTAAATACCAGGTATTATATTTTTGCCTTAAATTCTTTATTAGTTAAAAAAAAATGTTGTGTTGGGATCTGCAATCTTCTACTTTGAGTATCCCTTGATCATGCCAAGGTCTTCCTGGACAAATTCCCTTTGGTCATTTTCAGTGTTGTCTTCTGTGCCAGAGAACATTCACCACAGAATATTCAGATTAGAAACCTTGGCCCTTAAAACTCACTTTCCCAATAATGAGAAACAGATTTTTGAAGCGATCTGATGCACATACCTACGCAGTGTCTTTAGGACTGTTCATTACAGCACAGGTGTCTTCCCTTTTCAAATGAGATTCGGATGGTCTCCTTCCTGAACTCCAGTTGTAGATTGTCAAAAATGTAATGAAATGATCCCCCTCCCTGAAATGCATGGAGAGGTTTGAGAAACTTAAACCATAATTCTTGCCTCGTCAAGTGAGAAAAACAAACCAAAGAGACAGCCAAACAAAAAGCAAACCCACAAATAACAAGAGGTCTTTGGAAGACAAGCCGTTGAGTTTGTTCAGGAAAAGTCAGAAAAATAACTTAAGAGGAATACTAAAGTCTGAAGCTGAATGAAAGGGTTAATAATTCCGAGTATGAACAGGGAGCAGAGCTGTCTTCATGGTAAGTCAGGAGATGAACTGTTGAGCAGAAAGCAGGCCTTTTCTTCTGTCTACTGAAGACTTAAAGATATTACAGAAACAACAGTGAGGGTAGAGTAAAGAAGATTAGAAATTTTCAGAAATTGACATTGTTTGAGGAAGGCCATTGAGAGAAAAAGAACGGCACTGTGAAAGGTCAAGAAATACGTCAGCCGCCACTTAGCAGGTTGAACCAGTTCACGTTGGGCAATATCTGCATGGACTGGAGATTGGGCTGACTATAGTTTTTTGTGTTCTTATTCCTCAGGAGAGAGAGAGCTCCCATAGTGGACGGAGTGTGGTCATTTAGTCTCCAGGCACAATGCTGCTTCTTGGATCCCACGTGTTCTCAGCATCACCAAGATTTCCAGCTGCGTTGGGAAGGACACTGCACATCTGTGTCTCGCAGTTTGGACATAAATTCTAAGCATCAAATAGAAGAGTTTTCAAAACAGGGGTTTATGGGATTGATAGCAAGTTCTCCCTTTGTTTATGCCCTCTGCATATTACATGATCTCTGACTTGTAAGGGACCCTAGCTAGGATGTGATCCCTCGGGAACACAGTGGCCCAAGTGTTGAAGTAGGTCACGGTGCTCAGGACTAAGGCATTCCCATAATAACAACTCAGGAGTCTTTAAGAAGAAATCAAACCTATTTCAGGAACAGGAAACCTAAGGAATATTATGGGTAAATTCCCATGGGAACTTCCTTCCTCTCTTGAACTTCTTGGGGGTTTTTCCACATTAAGTGTCTCCACCTGCGGTCCTGAGCATCCCTGAGTTTCCAGTCCTAGGGCATGCAGAAGTTTGATGGCTCTGTACCTTTCATAGGCTGCTCTTCACAACTCCGGAAAATCACAAGGAAGCAGTTTTGCACCAATCGTATTCTTGTTTTTTCTTTTTTTTCTTCTTGTTCATTTCCCCTACATTTAATTTATTTCTTATGTATAATAGTATAATAATGCTGAAATCACTTTAAATACTTTCAAGCACCACACAGTATAAACACAAAAAAAATAAAAGTAATGGGCTAAAGATTGCATCCCAAGTAAATATCTGCTTTTCTACTTTGGGTCTCTACTTCTCTTGGTTGATTTAAGCCTCTCCCCCAGTAAATCTCAGAGAAGAATCAGGCCACTGGGAGTAGTTCTGAAACCACCATTCTTCTGGGATTACCAAAGGTTTCAGGGTTGCGATGTCCCAAGCGTTAACATGTAGGCAGGCTTTGCTACTCAGAGTCCCAGGAGGAAAGAACTGAGCTCTTCCTATAGTAGGACATATCACTGCTTCCCATTTTCCATATGGTTGCTTCACAAGTAGATTTATGACTGACATGTAGGCTTTCTCTGAGTAAACTGAAAGGAGATGGCTCCAACAATATTGATACTATACAAAGTAAGCAATATCCCTGTCTGGATGGTTGTGAGCTCGATTTAGAGCTAATTGTATCAACTCATTCATTTTTCTCCAGACTCATAATTAGAAGTGCGTGGGGGCGGGGCAGGTGCTAAATTCCTGTTTGTCAGAGGTTGCTTTCAGGATTTTTGAAATATGAATTTAAATTAGGAAGCAAAAAAATAACAGCTAATGTAGACATAAAATTCAGTAGGTTGCACTATTCTGTATGGAGGAGTTGACATAGACCCAATTTTCAGCTTATTTCCTGGTGGAGTATAATTTTGTAAATCAAAATTATTGGAAATAGATTCTTATCTCATACAATACATCTCGACCACAGTTTCCCCTCCTCTCATTCCTCCCAGCTCCCTCCCAGCTCCCTCCCAGCTCCCCTCTTTTCCGGATCCACTCCCCCTCCATCACCCATCAGAAAAGAGGAGGCCTACAAGAGAAAACAGTCAAACACGACCAAACAAAATACAGTAAGGCCAGGCAAGACTCCTCACACTGAAGCTGGACAAGGCAACCTAAAAGGAGGAAAGAGTCCCAAGA